CTTCCGTGTGTCCTTTGTACGCGCCGTGTCCCCTGTCTGTCCCCGACCCGTGCCCTGCACGTTTCCCTCCTGGTTGCTGCTACCCCCACCATGTCCCCTGTGCCCTGAGTACCCCGCTGTCTCTCCTGTCTGATCCCGCACCGTATCCCCTGCGTGTCACCCTTCAGGGTCCTGCATGCTCCCCGTGTCCCCTGTATGTGTGTCCCATGCTGTGTGTCCCATGCATGTCTCCTGACCATACCACCTGTGTGACCCCCATGTCCCCTGCGTGTCGTCTGAGGTTTTGCATGACACCTTGTCCCTTGTATGCCCTTTTCCCAGGTCCTGCATACCTCCCATGTCTACTGTGTGTGTCCCCTGTGCTGTGCATGTCCCCTTTGTAGTCCTCTGTGTCCCCCATGTCCGCTGTGTATCCTTTCCCTGGGGCCTGCATGCCCCCTGTGCCCCCTCTATGTGCTCCCCATGTCCCCTGTGTGTGTCCCCCAAGTCCTCTGTCCCTCTCTGTCTCTCCAGGGTTCTGTGAAAGCTCTCGGTTGTTCATAGCTGAACACTCTTGAACACCTCCAGGGATGGGCCAGCCACAGCTTCTSCCAGCAACTGTGCCAGGGCCTCACCACTCTCACAGGGAAGAATTTCTTCCCAATATCCCATCTAACCCTGYCCTCATCAATGGGAAGGAATTSYTCCTTGTCCCATCACTTCATGCCCTTGTCCAAAGTTTCTCTCCAGCTCCTTTTAGATGTTGTAAGGGGCTCAAGGTCTCTCTAGGGCCATTTCCAGGATCTAAAAAGTGCCTTATCCAATCAGTGATTTCCTGCCCAGGAGCCATCCCCACGATGCTCCTGGTCCTTGTCAGCAGTAAGTCTGGAGCTGTGACTCTGCTCTCTGTGTTTCCCTGGCTCTCACAGGTTTTGGTGTAATTTCTGCCGTTTCTGTGCCCATGAGGTCCAGGGTTAGGGAGACACTCAGGAATTTCTCAGGGAGGACTTTTTGCACGATCTTAGCACATTGCTCTTCTGTGAGTAGGTGGTTAACATGTTCTGGAAAGGGATGAGCGAGGCCAGAGGCCCCAAAATTCGTGAATTCCTTTTGGRAACACTCAGTGTGTTTCCATTCTGTCAGATTTTCACAGCTACTGGGTGAGTGRCTTTTCCTGACAGGTGTTCAACTGTCTGTTTAGTATTTTTTACACAAATTTCTAATGGTCCTGACTGATACACTTGTGGTGGTTTATGTAATGCTTTTTTTTTTCCCACAAGGTTCTTCCTTTCCTTTTTTTGTCCCCATGCAAACCAACCCTGCCTGATAACCAGCTCCAGCACTTTTCCCTCATATTCCTTCTTGCTTAGCAGTCTACCCAAGTCCACCCATTATGTGATATTCAATGAGGAATTGTATTTCTTTTTCTTCTCCAAGATAACCAGGAAGGTTAAATCACCCACTGGAAATGGAAGCCTGTCTGTGTCTCTGCGAGTGCCATTGCTGGTGTCTCCCCTGGCAGCTGCATCCTCAGGGCCCTCTTGGGGTTGGATAGGACAGATAATAGGTCCCTTTTCCAACTAAAAACATCTCACTGTGCCAAAGAACAGTGGCCCTATAAACAGGGTAAGAACAATGCTGCCCTACTCCCTTTCCCAGCAGTCAGTGGCTTCTTGGAAAGCAAAACCTGCTTTTTGCTTCCAGATCCTGGGAAACAGGAAGGTGCCTGGGCTCCTTCCAGCACTGAGGGTGGGATGATTTCACCTCCTGGCACCTTATCTGTTCCCTGCTCTGYCCTTTATCAGTGGGCAGACTCGTTCCAGCCATGGTGCCACTGAGGCTGCTGAGAAAGGATGAGCTGTTATTTTTCAAACCCAATCACGCTGCAGAATCCCTGGGTTTTGCCTACCCAGGTGAGCTTTTGCATTTACCTTGGCAAAGTCTCTGTTCTCTTCCCTTCCTCTTGCTAAAGCACAGCTTTGTAGGAATCCTCCAAGAGTTACGTAGATATTTTGCTTTCTTGACCTGGTTTTGATTTTTTTCAGAAGGGACTTGACATGGGCRTGGAGTGACAGGATAAGGGAGAGTGGCTTCGCGTTGACAGAGGGCAGGGATAGATTGGCTATTAAGAAGAAATTCTTCCCTGTGAGGGTGGGGAGGCCCTGGCACAAGTTGCTCAGAAAAGCTGTGGCTGCTCCATCCCTGGAGGTATYCAAGGCCAGGCTGGGCAGGGCTTGGAGCAACCTGGGATAGTGAGAGGTGTGAATTGGAATGAGATGAGCTTTAAGGTCCCTTCCAACCCAAACCATTCCTTGATTCGGTGATTTTGTGGGTGCTACAGTCTGGTCCAAGCTTTCACTATCGTGTCTTCAGCACTCAGCCCCACAGAGCTGCACAGTGGGCAGGGCTGGGAGTTGGTGGGAGACTCTCCAAAATTCCTCCTGCTCCTTCCGCCCCCTCTGCCCCAACAAATCCCATCCCTTGGTGGTTTTCCCCTCCAGATCACACAAGGATGAAGGATGTGTCTTGAATTTACTGGTTAAAGGGTGACCATGCTTGGTCTCATCAATGTATCTGGAATTGTGTGGCACCAGAGACTGTGCCTGTTTYCCTAAGACAAATGCAGAGGTTTGCTTTACCACATCCATGTTTTAGAAGAGCCTGGCTTAGTGGACTGTATCAAATCTCGGAGGAAAGGAGAGCAACGCTGTGTTTGCAGTCAGGTTGTTATCTCCAGAATCAGGAAGGTCACGCTGCAAAAATAGAATTCCTGTTTGTGCAGCAGTGTCCCGAGGACACATGGGAAMACATCGGGCCTGGGCTGCTCAGCCACTGCCACCACTGTGATGGCCCCAGCTCTGTCCTGGCACTGTCCTCCTCATCCTTACAGAGCACTGCCCTGAGAATTGAAGTTTACCCCCCTGCCTTCCCTTGGGTTTGTCTTCTTGTACACYGAGTGCTGCTGAGCTCTGTGGAAAGTCTCCCACATTGGTTATTTTGATGGGATCACAAGATGTGGGACAGCCCATGAGGATGCTGCTATTTCAATATCYCTTCAAGGACAGGGAGGACAGTGGGCAGTGACACTGGGCACCGTTTGTGGTGGTAAAAGCCCCCTCAAAAAGGCAAATGGGGGATCCTTTCCCCAGTAGGGGAAGCAGCCAGGCACCCTCCTGCCACGTGTCCCTGTGGATTACAATATTCCCTGTGGAATACAAAAGCTGCAGCTTTTGGACATTTTCGTGTACCTGGCCCCAGGGATGGGATTTGGAGCATTGGCCATGCAGGGTCTCATGGGTTGGGGACCTTTTCCTTTGGGAATATGGCCCTGCTCCCTCCCACCATGTCCAGCCCAGRCTGGATCCTTTCTCAGGAAAAGCTCATGAAGGAAGCACTGAAGTTTTTAAATAAAGAAGCTGATGTAGTTTCCAGAACTGCATTTATTGTATTTGTAACTAATATMTTTTTCAATCTTCCTGTGTAAGGACTTTGCACACCGTGAATCCCAGCCACAGGAGGTGGCAGTAGGACACCCACAAAACATTTATTACTTTTTCCTTTTGAGAATGGGGATAAACTGTCAATTTCTGCTTCTTTTATGCTGTGTGAAAAAGCACTCACTGAGCATTCAGAGGTTTGGAGTTTATTTTGTTAAATCTTTAGGTCAATTTCCTATTTAATGGTATTTTTTAGAATTCCCACAATACAAAGAGAAGCCTCAGAACTAAAACAACCCATTTATGGAGAAAAATGGACAAATACGGTTTCATACCAACTTTATTTCTTTTTTTTTCCTTTATTTTTTTTTTGTTCATAATCACTTCTTTTGCACAACAACAACCTCAAGTTGACAATGAAATGCACGTGGCAGACCGAAGGGAACCGGACAAGGCTCTGTTAGGGATGGAAAGTCTTTCCATGACACTGCGCCAGCTCCCCACCCGGCACRAGGGACGGTGGCCCTGACCACGGCGGGAGGAGCACATCCTGCCCGGAGAGCAGCCAGGGTGCTGAGCCCTGGGTGACAGCTCAGCCCCGTGCCCACACAGTCATCTTGCAACCCTCTCCTGCAGCCACGGGCTGGGCTGTTCCT